TTATTGTCATTCTCTCATACCAAGCAATTCTATTTTACACAGCACTGTTTGAAAGTGTTCCCTTCTTCTTAACAGTAAGGTGGAAACAAAGAATGAAATCTAAACAGCCTTTCATCACTGCAGTGTACCACGCAGTAGATTAATGGACAGTATCATGAAAAGGAGGAGATTTAATGCCAACAAATTCAGCAAATTTAAACATACTGGTGCCGAGGATTTTTTTTTTCCAAAAGCATGTACAAATGCCATCAACCTCTTGGAGTAGCTCTGGCTGGAGACAGTCACACTGATTTGATGCAAAAGTTTTGTGAATCAGTGTAACATCTGTGACGAGTGGTCACTGCAAGATACTTCAGAGGATGCTTCAATGAAAACAGATTGGACGATTATTGAATAATTTATATATCAGGTGGACTTTAATTTATTAATAGTTAATACCTCATATGAAGTAAAAAATAATGAGAGAAAGAAACTCTTCTTGAAAAATATAACTTGTGCTAGAAGTGTGCAGACTCTCATGTTATCTCAGGAAGAAATACACCGAACGATAACTGAGGAGGGAAATGGGAGGAGAAATTAGTTTGAGAATGAAGTCAACCTGGAGAACTTGTTTTGTGGAAACACAGTGGAGATCAGTGGAAGAAATGTCCCGGCTTCCTTGTTAGGGCCAATTTGTAGTTTTAATAGAAAATTAGTAAGATGGTGGCTGCTAAGAAAGCGGGTTTGATCAGTTTGTAGAGGTCTAATGTTGAACCACTAAGGCTAAGGAAATGCAAACACATTATATGAGCAAAGTCTGTGAAAGCTAGACTGCTAGGTTTAGGGGACATGTGAGAAGGAGAAAGGGCACGTTCCTTGAGACTCGTAGGAGTGGGGATTAGGAGTGCTGAGAACACTCCAGGCAGCTCATTCGAGGAAAGACTGGACACGAGTCGTAAAGTACAAAATCTGGGAGCTCGAGGGATTTATTGCTCTGCCATTAGTGATGGAGGAGGAAAGGACATACAGAAGAGATGACAAAGAATAACTTTTTTGCTGGGGTGAATTACATTAGGGAATCCCCAGCAGATACAACGAAACAAACTGTCCTTTCTGTAAGAACGGAATTATTCTTGAGGAAAAATTGAATGAGGAATGAGGAATGAGCATGCTGAGAAGGGAATAAAATCTCAAGCATGGTGTAAGGCCAGAGTTCAACCAGAGTGCCTCAAAGCCAGCATAATTAGGTTGCTTTAGGCCTTTTATAGATGCCCATTGGCTTTCTAACTGAAAACCAAAATAGTACAGGTCCCTTCTACAGGCAAGACCTAAGTAACCCTTACCAGCTGGAAGCTGTACAGCAGGGCTCTGGTCTCACCTGGTAACATGTCACGTGTACTCCTCCAAACTGGTTTTCCTACTGAACAAAGAATTGTTGGGAAGGCATGCTCTGATGGCCTCTACCTACTTATGCAAAATTTTAGATGAGCAATTGCACTTGTTATGTTTATAGTACATGCAGCGTCTCTGTGATTTTTTTTCATTACTGAGAAGTCAAGATGCAAGCAAGTGGCCATTTATTACTATTTGGTAAACAGACAACAAAACAAAATGTTTGCAGAGATTTGAGATGCTGGATTTGTGGTTGTACTTTTTAAATTGAAGGATTTTGAGTGTGCTTTGTTATCTTTTCAGTTTTTGTCATACAGGGAATTTTTTTTTACAAAGTCATTTTAAACATGGTGTATGTTCCCTGTAATGTGAAGTACTAGTTTGTGCAAATCTACCATCTTGTATGTGCTAGATGAGCAATTGCAGAGTATGTTACTGTGAGGACTGCTCCAGTTGTTCAAAGCAGGAGTTTGTTATGCAGTCAACAGTGTGGATAATAACTGCTCCTACGTTATTGTTCGAAATTCGGTAAAGCTATTAATGAGACTTGGCTAGATATTTCAGTTTGCTGTTTGTCTGGGAACAATTCCAATACTCAAAAAGGCAAGAAATTAAAAAAAGAAAACAAAAAAAGATAGCTGAAATCTGCAGTAATCACTTGACATAACAAGCTAGATCTTTAAGAAAACCTACAGATTTGGCTGTGCTTCCCAGGATTACCATGCAGACTCTTTTGAACATTTTCCACATAGTAAATCAAACTATGGAAGCCTACCTGCTTTTGAGTTAGAGCTAGAAATTTCTCAATTACATTGATTTTAAAATCACATATTTATACAGCTTCATATAAAATATTTAGCAGCCTCAGCAACACACTGCTGACAGGCTCAGTATAAAACATTAAGGTAAAAGTATTCAAGAAAAAAATCAATTTTAAGGTCACCAAAGAAGATCTTTTAAAGTATAGTGCTTTGCTTTGCCACTGATTTCCAGCAAGAGTTTGACTGAGAACTGTTTCTTGATCCATCCTGAAGAACACATTCTTCTTATGGAAATACTGCAAGTCTGACTTGCTCCATACTAATTAGTTTTTGGAGTTATAATAATCAGCTTTATAATTAAAAGGTAAATCAGCATATGCTGATGTATTAAAAAATGATTTTGATATGGGCATTTCTTAAATAAATAAAAATGTTGCAGTATTTGAACCTAACTTAGCAAGATATGATTTTGCTGCTTCTTATATCAGTTAAATGCTGTTTATTTATTCACAAAAGCTTCCTTTTATCTCAACTATTTGCATCTTCCTTAACACCAGTTCAGGTTTGCAGTGACATTTTCCTAGTTTCCAGTTACAGTTCAGCTGTTGCTTGGATAAGCTGTGCAGTACTCACTCAGATTATATTGCTCCTCTCCCATTTTGGCATCAGGACATCAGTTTACTTAATAGTCTAGATTTCTAGAAATATATCAGAAAGTGAAGTGGAAACTCAGTGGTGAAAAAGATACTTAAAGTTTACAATTATCATAGCAATCTTAAGGTATGCATAGTATATATATTAACAAACACACATTTATATGGAGAGAGACTGGATATAGTAAATAATACCAATTCAAATGATGAAAGAATCCTGCAGTACATGAGAGTATCCATAATCAGGTATGCACTTGCATTATAATCTTATTTCTGAAGTGTCTCTTCTGCTAACTATAAACACAGATCATGTTTATTTAATGATTTGCTGTCATTTTCTCTTTTTATACCTATACAGTATTCCTGGGAAAGTCTGAGCGCTGCACAATACATAAGCTGATCCTTGTTCTTGTTTTTTAGAAAATGAACCCAAGCAGGGAACTAACTTCTGCTAATTTTAATTTTCATCTGTTGCACGTTTAGTGTATAATTTTTGTAGTACTTAATATTAGCATATAGTTTAGTATATACTAAGTAATAGTATATTATGCTTAGTATTATGTGAGTAATATATTTAGTATTAGTATACAGTTTTCTGTATTATTTATTAGTATACAGTTTTCTTTCTTACAGGGTGAATATTGCACTATGTATGTATGTCTTCTCTAATTTATCTTTATGAAAAATCTACATGAAAAATATATATCTATTCTTAAATCTTCCTCTGTTAAACCAGAAAAAAAAAAAACTGGGTAAAACAGCATTGAACAGAGTTTGTTCCATTGTTTGCAAAACACTTTTTTTTTTCCTCCTCTAAAATGAAATGAAAATATCTATTGCAAATTTTTGTTACCAACATAGCTCTAAATGCTAAGTAATGTATCAGAATTTTGGACGGAGGTGTGTCTGTAAGATATATAGTATATTATGAGTGGAAAGGAATAGAAATCTTCTTATTCCCCAGATTACACTGTGGTATGGACCTTGTTCCTGTATGAAAACCATTTTCATGGGAAAAATTCATGTATGCACAGTTCTGAATTGAATGGTCTTATTTCATTGCTGGCTTTATGTCAGGCAAATCATTTCACATTCATAAAGGTTCTACAGTGCATCTTTTTAATAACATAAAGTCAGTTGGATTATTTAAGAACTCTGCTTCTTTAGATTCTGTGATGATAGTTGAATGAAACAGCAAAAGCATCTTGGAAGCAACCTATTTTTTTTACTTTTGCCCCCAGGAATTATTTTATTGCTGATTAAAATGTTATGTGGCACCATGATTAGGCCCAGCATTTTACATTAATTTGTCTGCAAATGGGACCTAGCTTTGTGTCTCTAGAGTTCCACTGAGAGAAATTAAATGAGAGAACAAAGTTGTGTACTGCACGTGTCGCTTGCTAATGCGACAATGGCAGCTGTCGCAAAATGAATTTTTCAACCCTTCCTCTCCCTGAGAGTGTGGAAACAAGAGTGCTTTGTACCTTTTTCAAGCAGTTAAATTTATTTTTTTATGTAAAATCTAAGACTATCATCAGGAAAGACTGTTGCAGGTTTCTAAGGCATCTCTATCATTGCAGATATAAAATTCAGCAGACCAATAGCAAATCTAACTTCAGAGTTAAATAAGGTGAATAACTGAATCACAAATACAGACACCCACAAACACATTTTATATGTGAGCCCTTAAAACTTGCACTACTGGTGTACACTCTTGTGTATGTTTATAATACAGTCATTTTGTCACTTGTATGTTAAAGAAGTGGTTTACTTGCCAGTGATAACATAGGCTGCCTTTTGCTTTTGAATTGAGCTGTCACAAAAGCTAGAAACTGTGCCCAGCCAGTGTGTAACCAGGGCTGTAAATCTAAATAGGTCAGGTCACTGTATTTGGAATAGTTTTTATTTGGTTAACTGGTACAGTTACAGGGCCATCATACAAGGATGGTTAGGCTTCCATCAGAGACAAACGTTGCTACGTAATCCTCACGTCGTGTGAATGCTCGTTCACGTAAGGGAGGGCTCTGACATTAGCTGAGGAACTGGCGCTCTTCCCAGAAGCAGCATACCTTTGATTTCATGGCTCAATTATTCTATTACTCTTGTCCATTGCTGAGCTCCGTTGAACTGGACAAATCTTATTCATTCGTTACATGTTTGAATCGATGAGGACTGTTGTTCGGCTGGTTGTGCAGGTTGTAGTTGGCACTGCTGCTCAGCACGAGATGACCAGTGGGTTAGACAAGGACTGGCGATTCTGCGCCTTCTCCAGAGGCTGGCTTTGTAAGAGTTCATAGGCTGTCAGCTCGTGGTAGAGAGTATCTAGGACTTCAAATAGGTGGGCTTTTCCTTTTAAAAGAAAATTGCAGATATTATAATTTGAACAAAGAGAGAAAGTTGCAGTTTAACAATCCTAACACAAGTTCTTTTCTTCATAGGTACCATTTCAAGTAATTATCATAAAATGTCTAAATTTTGAGACCAAATAATGAGTTCCAGTCGCTATAAAAATACAAGTGGAACTGGGTTCAAGGACTGTTTTCTCTACTAGTTCTCTTGCTCCATTCACTGCCCACCGCGTTCTCATATACTTGTGTGAACAAAGACTATTTCATGTCACAATAAAGAGTTGCCAATCCAACCATCCACTTATTCATGTCAAAGAGGAGGAAGATGTTTGATTACAAAACTTAGGAAAGCTGCTTAAGTCATATCAAGCGCATAGCCAGAAAATTGAAAGTGGAGAAGATGAGCCTTTTATGGAAATGGTGATGCAAAATGGACAGAGAACTGCACAAGGTTATTTCACTTGGTGGTGGTGTTTTAGGAAGCCGAGCTGTGCTGCAGTTACAGAGGGAGGTACTTGGTTTCAGCAGCATCACCTACAGTCAGTGTTCCTGTGCAGGATAAGTAGTAGTACCTTCTGGGCATTTGTGTGCTGTGGATACTAAGTCTCCTCTTCTCTTGTTCTCACCAGGAGAATATCTGACCTATGGCTGTGTTGGTGTCCTGGAGCCAACAAAGGTCTGTCTTTGCCTTCTTTTCTCTGCTTCCTCTGCAGCCATGCTGCAACAGCACAGCTTAGCTCTGGGCTGCCTGTGCCCTGAATTGCTGGAGACTAGTAACAACAAGGCTTTGAAACCGCAAAACCCAGAATAGGTTGTATGTTATTCTCCCTAAATCACTCTTAATAATATTCTCCAAAATTAAACCCTAAGGCTATGCCTAGTCTTTTATAATCTTGTCTTTGACTACTGTCTGCCTATTAAAAGTACCTCCAAGCAATGTTCTTAGGCTTGGTACAGGATGTTCATTTCTTGAAGGTAAGTACAAATGCTCTGCTAGTAGGAAGAAAGTAATCAAATCTAAACCTCCAGGCTGTGATCCCTGTATGATTCCTACAAAGGCAGCTCTGGCACACCAGACCATTGTCAAGGGAGAGGAGTTTGCAGGTTTAATTTTCATGAGAGGAACATGAAAAGCTATTATTAGAGGAGTGCAGGTTTGATCTGGTTTCTTTGCAGAAACATTCTGGTTTATATATCTTGTTTGAGTTGCAGCAGAGGAATACAACACGCAGTGGGATAGCAAAACTGATAAATAGGTGCCTTACATACTTGGTGATGCTTTCCACTTTCTCATATCAATGAAGCCCTACAGATATTAGTGGGATACTGAATTGTTCCCCTAAGGCCAAATTCTAACTAAAATCTGACTAAAAAAAGCCCTGGATGTGTTCCTGTTTGCGATGTGTCACAGACTAGAAAGCATCGCTTCCTATAGGTAATATTCTGGCATAGTAGTTCTTTCTCCCTAGCCTGTCCCCCAGTATTTGAAATATTTTTTTCCTACTCATCTGTTTATTATCTAGCTAGTGATTTTTCCCAAAGGACACTTCTCATGCTTCTTGGTCTTTATATGTGATTTATTTTCTTACCAGGTTGGGGATCACGGCAGGATTCCAAAGTGCTCAGCAAGATTTTCCCCAAGGCTCGCTTAGATATGTGCTTTAAAAAACAAAATAATATTATGGCACAAATATGTCCTTCACCAGTTTAAATGTATGCAATAAAATCTATGCACGGTGTATTTGCATTTGAAAATTAAAACAAAATGAAACTGAATCCTGGTAACACAAGACATGATACTGGCTTTCTTTTCAAGCATTTAATCTTAGATACTGCTCAAACAATAGCAGTTTGTGGAGGGCCACAGTTCCTTCATATGGCTGTAGAAAGACAAATAACAGTTATTCAGTAGAAAATACAGAATTTTCCAGAGTGTGTGCCTAAACAAATCTAGATGGCAAGGAGTGTAAGCAGGGCATGCACAACAAAAGCTTGTTCAGTCCTCTGCTAGGCTCGTGTTGAAAGGTGAACGGGCAGACTTTGTGGTGTAATCTTAGAAAGAGGCTTCTCAGACCAGCTGTTCTAGGAATCGTTGGGAACTGGTTTAGGTATAAACAACTTAGAAGAGATTGTATGTGTCATGTGGCAGGCCCACTGTTAGTTATATATTGAGATGTAATAAACATTAGCCAAAGTGAGAGGATTGTAAAAACTGCTTAGGATTTGGATGGTCTTTTTCAGTGGCAGTTTTATATTAGAAATCTGCTGGGACATTACATAATGAGTCTGGAAAAACAAACTCTCTCAATTTGCTATCGAGACACTAATGTATGCTTTCTGGGAGATGGTCTTGCAATCAGTTTAATTAGCACTTACAGTGCCTGTATCTGCAGGGACAGGTTGTTCTTGTTAAAATTTCAAGAAGTGAAAACAGATGGAAGCTATTGTAGGACAAAGATGATGTACCTCCCAGCAGCCCAGGCAATACTGGCCTTGCTTACTGATGCCGGTCGTTTTTGTCTGCCCCAGTGGGGACTGGGGCATAGTGGAAAGCTGTGGCAGGCTGGGATTACACCTGACCTCTGCAAAACAGTGTGAGGTTTTAATAGTCCTAACAGGACATGCATTTGCCTTTGGACAGTCATTGCTGTGTGGTAGATTCCATTGCAAATGAGATGCTTGGGATATTTAAAACGTGAAGGTGAACATGCTGGGGAAGTGACATGTAAAAAACACAGTTTCTGATGAATAAACTTTCTTTTGTCTGAAGTATGTCCCTTCAGGGATTTAGGGGATCCTTGCTGAACTCAACTGGGAATGCTGTAAATTATCTTGTTCATTGACAGCATTGTTGCCTGTATTGGTGCTATGGGAGTTGGCAGCATGTGGTGGCATATTTCCAGCAATGATTAGCATTAAGTGCTATTATCACTGGGATATGGCATGTTGTGTGATGGATTGTCTCCTAAGCAGAAATGATTTGCAATAATACAACTGACCAGTAAATGACATGTTGAAGTCTTGACACAAAAGGTTATTATGCTTGTTGCCAGTTGTAGTCTTTGGATTGTTATTGATGCATGTGTCAGACTTGCAATGTGAAAGCAGAATTTCCATGGCAAGTGCTAAAATGAGTTACCAAATTATGAGATATTGCACTTGTTCCCTAGAGTCATCAGTGGAACATGACCATACTTCAAGCAAAGTAAAGAGATCATCTGAGGAAGCGTTCTCATCTCACACAGATTAGGCAGAGCTTTGCTGAAAATTGAGGAGAACTCTCAGTCATTATCAAAGAAATTTTTTCCTAGCTGCGCAGCTCCCAACATACTCCATGTTCAGCATATTATCCAGTTTGCCTGTCTTTTGGCCAGCCCTTACCATTATTATTCCCAAGCAGGAGATTTAAACTTATTTTCTAAAGGACTGAACTGCCATACTGGCCATGTACTTCTGGGATGTTATTGCATCAGCTTTTTAAGTCCGTGTTTGGATTATTAATTGGGTAGGAAACTTCTTACAAAAAATACCTTATTGGTATATAAGAAGGGGTTTTATCCCTTTAATACTGACTCAGTGTCACGTCAGGATACAGTTAAACAAAGGTCCTTTTCTAGAAGGAAAAATAATCTTCTAGAATCTTTCTCATTACTAACATTTTTGTTTTCCTTGTTTCCTCTAAATTTTTGTTTAAAGGATAATGAGAGCTTGGAAAGTCAGCCATAGGGTCTAAAAGTTTTCTGCAATCACTGGGCAGTTCCCAGGGCAAACACATGTAAAAATGTGTCCTGGTGTAAAGGACTTTGTACTTAATAGAAGGTATGAACATCCTTTTTAGTTTGGAAAGGACACTATCAAACCCAGTTTTAAATCTCTGGACTGCTTTCTGGCCATACCAAGTCTCGAAGTTGTTGAAGAAGCTGTAAAACATCCATGAGCTTTTCTTCCACCAGTGACAGCCTAACTCTCTCCGTCTCCAACATCTGCAGCTCCATCTTCAACAATTCGGTCTCCTCCACCTTTTGCTGCAGTTCACCTAGCAATGGGCCTTTCATCTGGACAATGACACACGAAATTAAAAGCACTGGAGCTTTTCACTTTTTTGCCCAATAATTGCAAAGTTAAATTTTCCCCCTTATCTGGTGAGTGTCAGTTCACTCCAGCAGGTTATCTTGAAAGGAAGTAGATTTCTTTAACATACTACATAAAATGAAGAATCAATAGTTGCAAGGAAATGCATGCTTTGCCCTTGCACATAATGGCAGTTCATTCAACACTGGATGCAAGCAGATCATTCAGAAATTTTAAATACTGGCATTACTATTTCAGTTTTCTAATGTTTTGCATTCCTGTCATCCTCTATAAAGCATAATTAATTTGTGTGCCCTTACCAATGTAATCATATCTTTGTCTTGCAACTCCTACATATCAATCATCTGTACATTCAGTGAAACAAGAAGGTAAATAGCTGATTTCTTTAAGTATTTTGGTTTAAAAAAAAAAAAGAAGTGTCCTAAGGAAAAAAAAAAAGATTCTGGTTCTGCAAAACACTGGCATGAGTGGTTGGTGAAGCATTGGTTTGCTGCTAAGCACAGAAAAGTCCAGACTCAACAAGATTTTTGAACACTACAGAAATCCTGGGCAGGAGGGGTCTCCTCAGACCTGGACCTTCCAAAGCTGAGCTGACCTGTCAGTTGTCTCAGACCTCCCTGTGAAAAAATGTTCAGGATTTGAAATGTTGTCTTTGTTTCAATGCAAAATCTAAGCAACATATTTTTAACTACAAAGCTGCCACGCCATTTGCAAAAGTAAAAATCTTTGTTTGTCACAGAGCCAGACCTGTAGCAGATATGTGGCCAAGTTGCTAAAAAGAGCCTGAAAAGCATTCCCTGGAAAATATACCACTTAAATATTAATTTTGGACCTTTGAGAGCACTGACAGATTTCAGGTTTATTAATAAACTTATTTCTCAACATTACTGTGCCCAGCATTCTGAAATGCTACAAGTTTTTGCAATTTCTTGTTGTAAACACAGTCTAAATATATTTATTAACATTACAGTGAGAAACAAAATCATGTGGGGTAAAAGCCAAATTTGCTGGCTCTGTTAATCCCTGTTTGTTGTCATTTTTTATCTTTATTGCAGTTTTAGAAAGAACTAAGGAGAGAGTTGAACTTGAAAAGCTGAAGGCCTTAATATGCACACTATTTAATAGGGTTTTTTTGGGGGGTAATTTGAATTTGAATTGAATTTGTATTTGAATTTTAATGGGAAGGAACTTCAGTTCCCTAAGACACAAGTGTCATCAGAGTGAAAAAAGAAAACAATCCCTGATCCACACCAAGCCTTCTAGAAGGTCATTTTAGTTTCTGATAGTGCTAATAGTATGTATTAGTTGGCACTTATTCCCCCATCAGATGGAAATCAGCCTGTTCCATTAGCTGTCCCCGAGCTTTGCCCTTTGAGGCCCTCCAGCTCGTCTGAGCTATACAACAGCTACAGAAGTTTGGATCGCTTAATCTGGTCCATCTGCCCAACGATGATTTCAGCATCCCTGTCTGAACATGCCTTTGAGATGAATATACCAACATTTTCCTGTGTGGAGAGCCACCAATGTGGCAGCAGTCCGACTCAGACATAACAAATACTCTGGAGGCTGTGGGAGGTCTTCAATGACTTAAACATGTGGTTTCCTTTATTATATTGCAGATTGCCTCCGCATTGTAAATACCACCTGGCACAGATATGTACTAAACACATGAAGTTGTTATGTTCCCCTGTACAGCTGAAGCAGTGTCATATCAAACAACAGAAAGGTAAAAAGGTCATTATTTTAAAGTGTAAAATAGACTTTCCCAATACGCAATTAGAGAGATGCTCATGGAAATTCATAACTGGTACCCATCTATCCTGGTCTTGCACCCTGTCAGGCCCCTGCACCCCTAACATCACTTATCTCCTGCTTTTAGCTGCTGCTTTAGTCATGCTGGCAAAACTGCCGTTTTTGGAAAGCTGCACAGGGAGTCCTCTGTCCTCTGAAAGGCTGTAGCTGTGCAGCGGGTCTCACAAACAAACATGAATAGAAGTACAAACTTTTCTCTTTCATATGCATGCCACTTGAGTTCTCTGTAGTTGTCTAGTGTCACGACCAGCTGCTTAGTTTGTGTAGACAGCACAGGCAATTTGCTTAGCCAAGAGTGCCATGAGTCATATTTGGACATAGCATTTGTTGCTATTGCGGCCTCTTTTAGACTGGATGTTAGGAAGAATTTCTTCACCGAAAGGGTTGTCAAGCACTGGAACAGGCTGCCCAGGGAAGTGGTGGAGTCACCATCCCTGGAAGCATTTAAAAGCTGTGTAGATGTGGTGCTTAGGGACATGGTTTAGTGGTGGACTTGGCCATGCTGGGTTTACAGCTGGACGTGATGATCTTAAATGTCCTTTCCAACCTAAATGATTCTATGATTCTTTTTCCTTTTCATTTTGACTGCTCCTACACAGCCCTTTTTGCTTGTATTTCCTATGCTACAGCTAGTAAACTGCTTTCCACAGCAGTTACACCTTACCAGCCACCTTGTCGTCTCTAAGGATGCTAGTTTCTTGATACCTTTGTTTCATTTATATGTATGGGTATGCATCTTTTGTCTTCTTATTGTGCTTGAACACAGTGGCTCAGTGTACCATTAAAACATTCTCCCAAATTGTTTTCCCTGGTTATGTTACATCTAGCACTTGTTAACTTAACATTTGCAATAAGATAATGACGATAGTTAAGCATAAGCCATTTTTATAACCTAGATACTGAGGAGGGATGGTCAGTGCTTAAGTCACTCAGAGGAGTGGGTTTTGTTCTTAGCTCTGTCAAAGTCCCTCAGCAAAGCCTGATTTTAGATCTGTGCCTTGTTTGTGACGTGGAAATGCTACCTTGCCAAACACCAGTTTTGAGAAGAAGTCAGCTGATGATATCCAGCCCTCTTATAAAAGGGGGAGAATGCCATGGGGAAAATCTGCGCTCTGGAGTAGTGTGTACAGATACATCTAGGACAATGAATAATTAATATGCAAAAATCCTTTAAGGAATGTAGGAGAAAAGAATTCTATTGTATTTCCCACAGAAGTTAAGGAGGCTGTCATATTAGATCAATGAACCTGAGAAACATTTTCCAAACAGGAAGAAACCAGTAACAGAACAGCAGAATGAAGTGCTGAACTGTGCTGTGCAATTTATCTTTTAAATCATTTCACACTCAAAGGACTGGAGGGTGGCAAATGGAGCACCAGTTTTTAGGAGAGGCTTCAGAGATGATCTGAGGAAACAGCAAATCCCCTCAAGAGTATCAGTAATTCTGTCAGTCAAATTGATAGGAACTGTAATGGTGGAAGGACTTGGTGAATACATAGCTGAACATAGTGAAGAATCTATTAGATTTCTTTGAAAGGGACTATGAATATATATGAATAATGTTAATTCAGTTGATACAGTGTATTTTGAATCTGCAAAAAGCTTTTGATAAGATTCATCACCAAAGACTCAGAAAAAAAAAAAGTAACTGCCACAGGGCACACAGGGCAGTAGGGCAGATCCTGCCATGGACTTAAAGTTGGTTAAAAGATGGGGGTAGAGCACAGAGTGAGAGACCAGGATTGAAGGTTCACAGTGGAGGGGGATAATCCTTAGGGTCTCACAAGGAGCTAAGACCTGAGCTGTTCAGCATATTCATAAATGATTTTTAAAAAAGGTAAATGTCAAAGTGTTTAAGTTTGCTCTCAATACAATTTTTTGGGGGTAATCAAAACTAAAGCTGCCCATGAAGAATTACAGCAGGAGTTCATGATATTGAAGAGGCATGGGCATGAAAGATCAGATGAAATTCAGTGTCAATAATGCAAAGTCAGTCATGTAGGAAAGTTACACAATGTTGTACATACACAGTGATGATGACTGCCACTCAAGAAGGAGATCCAGAAGAGCTACAATCTCCTGAACATAGCTCAGCGGTCAGCAGAGATCAAAAGGATACATGCTAGGAGCTATTAGGAAAGGAACTAGAGACAAAACAGAAACTAGGATTATGCCATGAAGAGCTTGAATTTGAATACTAAGTATATTTTCAGTTCTTCTCATTCAAAAAGGGTAATAGACCTTGAAAAGTATATGGAAGAATAAAATAGAATAACAGAAGTAAGTAATGGTTTCTATACCAAGAATGCTGAGGCCGACTAGGAATGGTGATAACTGAGGCAGTATTTCTGGTAGTAAGTGTCTGTAAAATTATGAGGGAAAGATCATTTGCTGATTCGCAAGCACACAAGAGGTGCCAGTGGATGATCAGGCAGCAGATTTAAAGCTAACAGAAAGAAATCCTCAAAACTTTTTTCTTTCTAACTTGTATGTGGCAGTCCTTGCCCTGAGATACCAAAAGTATCACTAGCTTTAAAGAAAGGAAATGTAAATTCATGGTAAGTAGCTCCAATGCTGGCCATTAAACTTGACACTCCATGCAACACCCAGTTCAAAATGTGTCTATCCCTAGTGTATTGGGAGCCAGGTGAGTAATACCAAGTGGAAAATCCTCTGTACTGTTTCTCATTGCTTTTCTCTAAGCAACTGCTGCTTGCCATCAGGTGTGTGATATTAGGATGAACTTTTCATTTGACCCTATATGGCAGGTCATAAACTAATTGTCTTTTTAATTAAGCTGACAGATTGTATGCAAGCTTTTACAGAAAATAATTGGCATTTCTTTGCAACACTACTCTTGGCAGTGCATCACTTTATTTTTAGAATTTGCTCATGTTCTCTGTATCTATTATCCCCAGGTCGTGACACCTTGCTCACCCTGTCTTCAGTAGAAACTATTTTTAAGTGTTTGGTTGTTGGAAAGCGGAACTTTCTAGACATGACACAATTTCAGAACTCTTTTATCCCCTGGTTTGACAAGTCTTAGACTGAAGCCATTAGTAATTGGTATTTGAGAGTGTTGCTCTTCACTTGCCTGCTGAGTTTCTTGCTTGTTAGCTTTGTTGTTATTTGTCTAATTTTCAGCATTGAGCAGGTCCAAATAAAAGTATATAGAGCAATGTATAAGGTAGTTTTGTGAGGTCAGCAGAAAAAGTGTTCTTGGTGGTTTATTTATTAAGCTAATATATTTATTTGCAAGTTAGATGAGAGAGAGCATTTCTCAGTCTTCCAATTTGCTGTGTTGATTACAGGAACAGTCATCTTTTTGAAAGGAATTACTTGTTACTTGACTGTTTTGTAGCATCACCGCCCCCCCAGCCGCACACAAGATATAAATGCTGGCTAAATAAAAGTAAGAGGTTTAAGAATAAATTTCTAACAGGCTCAAAATGATTCATCCTACTGATTTTAAATTCATGTCACAGTGAGTTGGCACTATGTCTTATTCGCCTCCCTGCTTAAATCAAGAGCAATAGATTCCATTTTTGTTCTGGAATTTGTATTAAATCTATTGGTAATGGTATTTTCTGAACAAGGTGCACAGAACTGATATCCATCAGCAGAAACTGAAAGGAAGGCAGAAGAAGATGAGTACCTCTGAATGGAAAAAAAAAAAAGAAAACTGGCACTACCTACAGAAAGGTAGTTCCTTCCTGCAAGTAAAAGAATAAATGTAGTTTTTTATGTGGGCTGATGTTAAGCAGTATAGAAGGAAGCTTTGTATTGCTTGAAGGAGTATTACAGGAATAAATTATCATTGAGTACTGCAAATTGTGTAAGACAAAAGTATGATTTTATTCTGGTTTTAATTTTTTTTCCTCACAAGTAAACTCTTTCTTTTAATTTAGTCAAGGGGGAAAAGGATATGAAATACTGATAAAAATCAAAGGATGGCAACATATAAAGAAGTTGAATATTTTACTCTTACTTTAAATAGTTTACCAATTAATGTAATCCTTCCAGAACTACTGAAATCTTCATGGTCCTTTTAAAGAAAGGGTATAAAATACTGAACAAGCAGTAACTGAACCTTAAGACAAAACAGACCAAAGCAATGCATATAATGCACTATTTTTGTTTCACAGAAAGATTGTTAGCATTTAAATCTATCAGTGGCTGAAGTTTGCAGTATTTAAACAGTAAGATCACATAGGACTACTAGGATACTGCACTGGAGCTTTTAACTACTGTGGTTATAACCTCTGCTGAAGGAAAGTTGAACATGCTGCTATGCCTGAGAACTATTTTTTTTTTTCACTTATATCAGTCTAAGCCTGAGAACCAGCCAGAGTAAACTGGATGATTTCTTCCAAAGGATTCCAAAACAATAAGCCTCTGCATCTCAGTCAGCTGGAGGGATTTCTTGAAAAGTTACGGTGCTCCCAGGGGAGCTGGATGTCTTAGCACACGACGAATGTCTCATCCACAGCTGAGGAACCACTGAAAGCTGCCTATAGTAACCCTATGGTTAACGTGCGGCTCTTTGGTCTGCAGTGGTATCAGTCCCAAACATAGCATCAGTGAACATGTTAAACCATTTAAATAAAGGATAGTATTTAAAGAGCCTGTGTCTGACTGTGGCTGGTGTACATCTTATCCTCCAAACAAATGGAGTTTCAGGTAGGAACCAGACTAGAAACGTGGGTGTCATAGGAAAGCATGAGATGTTTGAGGTGACAAACTAACAGCACAGCAAGAAACAACAGCAGCAGAGAGTGGAATGGCCAGAATAAAATATAAATGCATATGTATATAAATGCAGCTACTTAAAGATACATAAATAACTGTTTTGCACTCTGCTTGGCACCTGTTACCTCTTCCATATTTGTTTCCAGTTTTTTCACTTCATGCCCTTTAAGCTCAAGCTGTCCAGTTAGCTGTGTGATTCTCTCTGTGAGCTCCGCAGGGGCTGTTTCATGGCTGTCGGTATTGGTGGTCTCCAAGCAAGACATTAGCTTTTTCCACATTTTTTCATCACATCTATAGATACCAAAAAAAAAAAAAGTTAGTGAAACCTCATGATGAAAGTCTATGTTTGTAAAAGCATTTCCTGCAAAACTCTTGGCAGCACAGATCACAAATTAGCATCTTAGCTGATGCTGATTAGGGTTAGGTGGGAATATCCAGCATGTTGGTTCCCATGAGCTGGAAAAGATGGGCAAAGAGGCCTGCTGACTTCACTATATTACTGCTTCTTAGTGAAGCCATGGTGCCTTCAGGTCACAAAATAATCTTTGCAAAGCACTTAAATACGATTAATCTCAGAAACCTACCCGCTACCACAGCAAGGGAGCTTGGCCAGTATTTTCTTCATTTGTTCCATCTGGGATGGCTGGTCTCCTGCCCACTTCTCCTCCTCTTCATCAGAGGCAGCCTGGCCCTCCACAGAGCGGAACAGCTGATCCTCTGCTGGAGAAACCAACAACTGCTTAGCAACAAAACAACAGCCCTGACATGCTGCAGCTGTGGCAATTTAATCCCCTGAGACTGAGACAGAAAGAGGTGAGATTTTAAAACCCCCAGTGAAACACAGCACAGGGTCCTCCAGCATCCTTGGAAAGGGGCTTTAAAGTGAAGGCAAAGGAGCCTCAGTAAAGATCGTTATTTTAAGGGTCTTGACTATTTCAGCACTCTCTTGCAGGCAACTTATAGCTATTTCACTTCAATTCTTCTTTCCTTTAAGTAACTAAAATGTAAGGATAAGCGTGAAGGATCAGTATGTTATTGGGGGGGGGTAATTACTGTTCACATATACAGTTGAATATACACTTTTCAAGAAAAATGAGAAACCATTGTACTGTGTCAGATTTTTTTTGCACGGTCACTGTAGCAGCTGAACACATATTCAGAGTGCAGGAATTTGATAGAAATGTTCTCTAATTCATTCCTTTACTGTGTTTTGTAGGGATAGTGATTTTAATATACAAATGTAATATTAGACCAATGGCTAGCTAATGTTTAGTTATATCTTTTTCACCTAAATCTAGTGTCTCCTCACATGCCAAATAAGTTATAAATGAACTATCTACAATACATGTAAATGTACATGTACTATTACAGTAACATTTCAATGCTTATTTAGCTGTATCTTACAGAAGCTGTTGCATTTCACTCCTTTTTATCACAAGAAGATATTTACTGGGACTGAGAGAATTACTGTGATGCTTGTAACTTATTTGGAGTCTTTTGAAAGACTGAGTATGTGAAAAGCACTGGGCACATCTTTATTCTGAACATTTATTCTGAGTTGACATCAGGTTAAAGCCAATGTCAACATGATTTTAAATTTTATAATTAGTTACCTTAATCACTGTCAGTTAATTAAACAGGTTTAATGAATTCTAACAGAATGATCAAGTCAAATGCTGGTACTTCTTCAAATATTGAAACACATTTGACCTTAGGGAGCATTACCAGTGTTGTGCATATTTAGTTCGTCCAGCACAGGAAAGGTGGGTTCAGGGAGATGAGTCACCTAGCAGAGACTCTCAGGTAAATGGTTTTCTGTCTCATTTCAAAGACACAAGCACCTGCAGTTCAAGCTAAACTACCACTTTGAGTTGTCGCTGTTAGAAAGGCCCCTGTGCAGCCCGCCGGCCCTGGGCGGAGGCCCAGCCCCGTGCTCTTTGGCGGGCTCCCCTTCAGGGGGCAGCCATGTTGCGCCGCGGCGCAGGCCCGGCGCGG